ACATTTAATGTATCAAATATACACTTGACATGTGTGTGCCACATAGGGCAACTGCTGCGGTGAATGACTGCAAGTAGCATTATTCATAAGCTTTAGGCAGTAGGTGGTGGTTCTGTTCTTTGGTGTTTAGTTTTCTCCTTTATTTTTGCCCCAAGTCACTTTAATACAAATTTTGACTTTTAAACGATTAGAACGAATTTGATAGGTCGGAGACCTAGATGCAACTTTTGACAAAGGTTGGAGACCCCGGTGAAATTTACCCTTTACCTTAAACTAGTCAAAAATATTTATCTTGACAACACAAATTATGAATTTTTGATATTTCAACAATTTAATCCACCAATCACAACAAATAGAACTTCATATTCCTCATCCAGAATCTTGTGTAATTTCACCACATGTGAATCGTGCAGGTAAAGACCGAAGGTGGACCCTGCAGCTAGGCAACCAGGTCGGAACGTATACGCCACACCATCTACCAGAGCGTTGTCAAGATATATACATACCACGGATGTCGTGAAAAAAATTGAAAATGAGAAGAATAGTTGGTACGAGTGTAATTGCATCAGCCAACACGTAGACAAAATCTAACGTCCACCGGAATCCAAACCTCCCGTTAGCTACACGCGCCGCCACCAATGGTTGCCTTGGAACCCGTATGTCATCAACCCTCCACCACCACTGCTGAATTCTTCCTGTATTTGTTCTTGAATATTCTTTCATTGGTGTGGTTTTGTGCAGGTAGTACCTAGAAAAAGTGCAGAAGAAACAGTGGAAGAAGAAGAATATGATGAAGAATCAAAGGATTTGGAGAAAGGTGGGATGAATTTTCAAGAACAAGCAGTTCAAATTCATCCCCCAACAGAATTTCATATGTCAAGAATGCAAAGATTGAGTGCTACGAACCCTTTAAGACTTGTCGTAGAAAATTCAACAAGAGTTGCCTCTCCTCCTTTGCAGCACCCTCCGCCTCGCCCTTCTCCTTTGCAGCACCCTACGCCACGCCCTTCTCCTTTGCAGCACTCTCCGCCTCGCCCTTCTCGTTCTGTTTCTCCCCCTCCTGTGCAGCAGCCTGTGCCACGCTCTACACCTACCCCTCAAGTAAGTTTCAACATTCAACGTTTTTTTTTTGTGGTTTTGATGGAAAATAATTTGTGATATTTTGTGTTTTTTGACCAGCAATCAGTTGTAACGCTGAATTCAAGATCATACACAAACAAGATTTCTCTGTTTGTGTTCCTTGTGCATATGGTTATGGCAATTGGGCTGGTGGGGTTTCTTATATTTAAGGGGGTGCAAGGCCTAATAGAAGAAGGGGGGGCTCAAAGAGAAGAGAAAGAGTTGTTGAAGTATTTTCTGCCACAGGTTGAGGCTGCCTCTTTTCTTAGCATTACATTAGCATTTCTTTGGCAAAAGGCAGTGAGATTATGGCCTAAATTCGTGGTTCGTTTTATCATCTGGAGTTCTTTTGTCCTAACTTTATCGGCCGGTATCCTTTTAATTTGCTTCCAAAGGCCTGCTACGAATGGCGTTGGAGCTATTTTTATCGCATTCGCCATTGGTAATGGATTGTATGCTTGTTGGGTTACACAAAGAACTAGTTTTTGCTCCAAGATTTTCATCAAAGCTCTTGAACCAGTGTCGAAATTTCCTGGTTTAAATCACCCCACTTATTTAATGCTTAGTGCTGGATTTTTGTGGATGTCATTTTGGATTTTAGCTGTTATGGGATCAATTAATTTTTATGTTCCTCCAGCGATTATATTTGCATTGGTATTGAGCTTGGCTTGGACTGCTGAAGTAATGAGGAATGTGGCTAATTTAACTGTGAGTAGGGTGATTGCTCTGTATTACCTAAGAGGAATGCAATCTAGTACTAAATTTTGCTTCCAACGAGCGTTATCTAACAATCTTGGAAGTGCTTGCCTTGGTTCCCTTTTTGTGCCTACAATTGAAGCCTTGAGAATTGTGGCACGCGGCCTGAATTTGATTGAGGGAGAAGATGAATTCATGTTTTCTTGTGCACATTGCTGCCTCAATGTCATGGAATCGATCTTCAAACGAGGCAATGGTTGGGCCTATGTTCAGGTATAATCTTGTTTAGTCATCTAAATAGAATTCTAACTGTGTTCTTTGCAATTCTCAATTTGTGTTGTACTAGATTTAATAAGATTGGATATGCTCAAAGCTCTGCCAGTGGAAAAATGAATTGACCTATCTCTTCGCGCTAAAACATTCTCGACCATAGGATGGAAGTATATGACAAAATTTTTTGCAGATTGCTGCATATGGAAAAGGTTTTGTGAAGGCATCACAAGATACATGGGAGCTTTTTCTCAAGAGAGAAATGGAAGGAATTGTTGATTCTGATATTACAACTGCCATTTGCTTTCTCACCGGAGTTTGCAGTGGTTCAATTTGTACAATTGTGGTGGCTGCTTGGACAGCCACTGTGCACCACCGCTACACGGCCACCCTCTCCGTCCTAGCCGCCTTCATCGGTTACCTAATGGTTGGTGCCATCTCTCTAATTATCTTCAATAATTAAATTAATCCTTTTAACATCTCAATAATACATTCAAATCATGTGATCAACTTGGATATATTTTATATCGTGTGGTTGGTTGATTAACATAATTGTACTTATAATGTGCTTGTAGACTAGGATTGCAATGGCACTACCTCAGGCATGTGTGAGTTGTTACTATGTCTGCTATGCCGAGAATCCAAATAACAGGCTCTTCGATGACATGATACCGGACCGTATCCAGATGCTAAAATCCGGCCGTGATGTTGTGGGAATGACACCTCGAGTTCCCCGGCGTTTCACAAGATGAGTGTAAATTTGAACACTCGATTTTCATTTGTCAAGGCATATAACACCAAGTCTTGCGCTACATGGGCTCGGATACATATCAATTCATTCGAAGTGCCAGACATGAGTAGTCGAGTCATGTTGTATACATTGATGATACATTGGACTGAAAAAGATTGAACACGATTACGATTTGGCCCATCCGGTACTCAATGATGCCATACAATGAGATTTGGAAGAGCGTGTCCTTGCTTGGAATTATGCTTTTGGATATGCGATGCTGTCTTTCTCACCATTATTTAATTGGCATGATCTTATTATTATTATTATTATTTCATTACGTCGTCGTATTCTTTTATGCAATCCTGTAAGAATCAACTACTTGTAGTATTGTCATTAAAAAATAGAGTTGCTAGTTTCTAGGTAGCTTCTTGAAATTGTAGTTTTATGTTCACGATTTGAATCCAAATTTGACCCGTAAACGAAAGGTGGCTTGACAAATTAATTGTGCCCTTCAAGCCTCCGTTTGAAAAGAAATTAACAGTCTAATTTATAAATAGATAAAACTGAGTGATGAATAAGTAAATATGGTAATGCTATTCGTAGTAGTCACCCTACGTAACATCCTACTTGTGATTGTTTATTGTTATTTATTAATATGGAAATTCATTTGATTTTTTCTTTTTTATTAAAATCGTGACACATAGGATGTAATATAAGGCGATTGCTGTAGTCACTCACTACGAATAGTATTATTCAAGTAGGTAGCACTTGTGAACTCATTGAAATTTATCGTTGAAAATAAAATTTGACACCATTTAAATAATTTATAAATCACTTTCTTTATTTATTTATTTTTTCTAACTCGCCACGCAAAACAAACTAATTGATGTGACACATACTTTACATTTTGAGAATATTTTTGATATATATATATATGTTTTTTGTGACGCACATATCTTCTTTAGTGTGTGTTTGGTATGGATTTTTTTGGGGAAGAATT